GTAGTTTTTAAGTCTTCATTATTGCTTACTCCTAGGTAACTATGTATCTGGATAACAGGTAGTTCAACGTCATTTACTGTGTGTTTGTATTTGTACCTTGATGACCAATATGCATCACAATGCTTTTGAGGGCATTTATCGGCAACTGCCAAATTTTAGACCATTCGTGTACCTTTTCCAGGTCACTTTGAGGCTCTAAACCATCACCTTTTGTTTTTGTCGCTCTTCATATATTGACATCGTCAGCTTATAACAAAACCGATGATGTAGAAGACTAGGAATGTCATTTGCATTTAAGAGGAATAACACTTGCCACAAAACTGTGCCCTGAGGCACTCCACTAAACACAGTTTCCCAGCTAGGCAACTTGAAGTTCACCCGTACTCTTTGTTGTCTCTCAACAGGAAAACTTTTATCCACACCAATAGATTACTTCCAACCCCAACATTTCTTAACTTATACAACAGCCGGTTGTGGGGAACTTTGTCAAAAGCATTACTGATGTCAATGTATGCTACGTCTATTGGTAATTTTTGGACTTTAAGAGGGGACCAGCTTTTACGAGACACCAATAAGTTATTGAGACAGGAATAACCTACTCTAAAACCATGCTGCTTTTCCGAAAGTATCCAGTTTGTATCGAGGTACTTAAACAACTCCTTCCGAATAATTTTCTTAGTTAAGCTAACTGGTCGTTAATTCCCAGGTTTATGTCTCGTACCTTTTTTAAAGATCGGACTTACTATGGAATTCTTTCAGTCTTTTGGTAATGGACTCTGGATTACAGATAGATTACAACATATGCCAATGGGGTTCACAATAAGATTTGCCGATTCCTTTAGTAATCCTGGATGCATTTCATCGGGTGTCGTAAATTTACCCATATTTGTTATTTCGAATTATTTGAATTGTAGTATGAACTAAGAATCCCAGAAATAACGCAACTGAATCAAGAAGTGCTAGAATATGCACGAACGAATGTATTATGTTTAGAATTCGAAATCGAGCATTCAACAAGTACAAAAGAATCATTAGTTCGTTCAAAAACCACATCATATTAAGCTAATTTTGCAGACCAGAGACGTCAATTTCCTTAATGTTCATGGTGTCCAGTGTACGAACTAAAGGGGAGAGCATCTCTACGGTATATACATTGCCAAAGTAATTTGAAAATACCTAAGCTTTACCATAGTCATCCTTCACCAACTATGTAGTACTGCCGCCTCTCCATGATACTGGAGTATTCCCTCTTCTCTTAGTCCTTTTGTTTATGTGCGAGTACAAGCATTTAGAGTATTCTACAGATTCATTAACAAGTTTTTAGACTCGTCAAGGGTAGAGGCAAAAATATTTCATGCTTCTCATCAGTACCTAGTGACCTAAATCTCTCTCATATCCTTCTTTTCTTGCGGAGAGGAGTGAGAAACTCGATGCTAAGACACAGCGTAGAGTTTCTTGGACCCCTTGGTGCAGTCCAAGGGATGTGTGGTGCAGTGACATTTATGCACAAATTTCTGAATATATCACAAATCGTTTCAACCGAGAAACTGTATGGTCACTTTTACTAAGGGGTGGCAATATAACGCAGAACTGTGACGTTGTCATTATAATGGGTCATTTTTAGACCTAGTAGAGGAGATTCAGAGTTCGGGTTGTATGTAGCCTGCATTATGGTATATGTCATAACCGCATCAACTAGCTAGTGTTCTAGAGAATTATCTGATGTTTCAGTCCTCGAAGTTCTCCAGTCGACCGTAGGTGTGTTCAAATCTCTTAAGATTAAACATCGATCACTTGAAGATTAAGTCTCGAAGCTTTCCAGCATGACCTCGCTCACCTCACCGTTTAGACTGCGGTAGGCAGAACCAATCAGGAGCTCTTGTTCCTTGCATTTCAACTGGCAACTAACTGATTCAAAGTCCTACTTTCATGGGATAGGTTATCGGTAACAGAAAATGAGACTGCATTCCCGATGAATAGATCTACTACTCCTACCTTGCGCTTCTGAATTCCGTCTGCTCTTATGAATGTAAACTCTCAAAATCAAGTCCTCTGACGTCTACAGACTACGTCAGTCAAGTTTCCGTGTCTGCAATTACATGCTGCTTGGTAAGTTTGTAGATAACAAAGGTAAATGATCTGTGTCGAATGGTTGGGGGCCTACTCAAGTTAGACGAGAACGGTGTGAACATCTAACCGACGTCGAAGTCACAACTCACGGTAATGCCTAAAGTGAATTACCCTTTCGTCGTATACAGATACTGTGACTGTTTCGATGACTGAGCAACACAAACGACGTTACTACAGAAATATATAAGTAGGAATAAGTACAAGAAACAGAGTAAGATCACCACCAACACTAGCAACACAAGTGCCAGTAGGTTGCGTGCGATCAATTTATACTCGGTTGTTGTCCTTGACCTCGACGAGGATTGGTGAACTGTTCGACATTCGATGATCAGACTCTCGGATGGTTCGGTTAGGGTCCAGTGGCATTTCATCGGTACTACAAGTTTACCTGTGCAAATAGCTCTGATCGCTTGTAGAGCAAGCTGGGAAAATTCCTGTTACAGATCAGAGGACCAGTCAGAAAATTTACAAATCTGAGGTGCCCCTGTCCAACAACTAACCCGGGTTTTTGTTCTTTTTGAGCTTCTCGCCTTTTTATATGTTCGGCAAGAGGTACGTTCATTCTGTGATATTAAGTCCTAGTCTATAAGCCCCAGATGAAGCGTCTCCAGGAATATTCTGAGGTATTAGTTGAATAAGTCATCATTTTTTCAACTCATTTTTACGATCAAAACGAGTTCTGGGTTCTGACCTTTCAATCTCCTTGACCTCATAAAAACATTGGCCTGCCACGATGACCTGTCTTCGATTTCCCAGCCACTGTTTGGCATACTGCCGTTACTTTGGAAACAATAAGTCGCTCTTTGTTCTTCATCTGTAAACATTATTCAACACTCACTGGAGTAGCGAACACAGTCACGTTACACACTGAGATCCTAGATCATAATGGCAGAGTTGAGAATTCAGGCACCTGTTAAAGATGCCACAGGTATTCGGAGTTTGACAACGCTTTAACCAGTAACACCTAACAAGTGAAATCAAAAGACAAGCGAGAAGGTTCGAAGATATATTTGATGGGCTATCAATATATCGAGGATCGCCTGATCTAATCTGGCTAGCGATTACAGGGGTTGTTGAACACGGCGTCCCCACTCATGATCTGGTGCGGATGCATGACAATTTATGTCAGAAAGTAGGCTGCAAATTCAGCATCTCCATTATTTTTTCTTGTCATATACCAGATTTCGAACCTCATTATATAGTCTTCAAGCCATTCCTATGTAGATTACCAACGTAGATGATCTATGTCGAAAATGATCGGAGGCCTACTCGAGTTAGACGTGAATGGTGTGACAAACTATCTAACATCGAAGTCACATCTCGTGGTCAGCATCTTACGTAGACTTATAGAATTATGGTCTACTATGATATTAGTACTGCTCTAATAATAAACCTAATCCTAAATTCGTAGATTTGTCATGATATAACTGCCTAACCTATAAGATCTTACGTGGAAGTCACACCATCGACTACACCAACTCACTGTATCGCGTCAATTACCAATACATGATGTAGAACAAGGTTAGGCTAGAGAAAGAACAATATATTTAATATGAATAGAAGATATAAGATAACATTCAGCAGAGACCACGCCTGCATGGCCGAGCCATGCCACTCGATCAACCCCAGTCAATTCAATTCATTCTCCGCGCCTTCTCCATTGTTAGGTATTTCCCCAAGTTAAATATTGAATATCTATTTTCTGAGTAGTCTCGTGTTCACAGCTTTGTGGATTGTGTGGCTATTGTCCAATGCCACTACACTACTCTCCCAACAGAATCAACGAGATGATGGTTCGATACCAAATAGGATGGGATCGTCGCGCGCCAGAGGTTACCAAGGATAATAAGGATCCTCTGGGTATTGATAAGCTGAAAGATAAATCAAAAAGAAGGCGGCAGCATCTGGTCGGGAAATACATGTAACAATCTTAAAATATCTGCTTGAAATGAAAATTTGGGTGAAGATTATTTGAGCTATAAAAAATGGGGTTACAGTAATAATAATAAAACGATGAGTGTTAATAACTTAACTTATAGGCAGTAATTATTTTGTGCTTAGAAATATTAAAGTAATGAATATTGTAGAAATGTTAATATTGGTATTAGTTTTGGTTTAAATTATGAAATCGAATAACGATTATGCCGGTAAGTTGTCCATATGAGTTGAATCCGTAATGCATCTGTATTAGTAGGCTAACTGAAAGAACAAAAGTATACCGTGGAGAAGAATTCCAACTAGTGTTCCAGTTAGTTTGATACGGTTTATTTAGTTACGGGGAGATTTTCTCAACCTCATTTTTACTTGACCGTGATAGAATTTAGTAATACTACTAATACACATGAATGGTTATCAAAATAAAATTTAAATACACGAGTGATAATTATATGGATTTTGGACAGATAGCTAGGAACAAATCGTTAAACATGAGTGTATTCGTAAGAGACATGCTATAAACTCAACGTTCTGATCTGCGGCAGACTATTTATTTATATTTATACTTGCTGGCTGATTGGGCATACAAGTTAGTTGCAAGTATGCAGTTTATCATAAGGCGGAATACGATGTAATCGAGATATAGTGGTTATAAGTTATTAAAATCAGTTAGGCCTGTGTCATATTACGAAGTGATGTGGTGCTGCAAGATGTATTTAGCTAAATAAGTTTTTACAAGCTGATTAATAGTGAGTGATGCTCATGTGATTATCAGGGAGAACATAAGTTGTAACCAGGGGGAGTGTGGAGATATGACTGACAAGCTTATTTTGTAAATAGTTTTCAATGTTATTTCTATTTGTTTTGCCAATTTTTCACTGTATGTACATTTATCATTAAATGATTGTACGTGTTGTTTTAGTCAATGACCTTGAGGACTTTTTCCGTTGTAATTCGAACATAGCGTGACACACATTTTCGGTTGTTCACAAATACACTATTACGCACATACCCATTGTTCTATTGTCGCTCGTTACCAAGTCAATTGCGTTCTAAACTGGATATTATCCTCATGTCAGACTGCAGTGTCATTCCCATTATATCCTACGTCAAAGAAACTTATTGGCGTCATATTTACCTCTGTGGAATTATTACGCATTTATAATTGTGGATTTTTGAGACCAAAAACTCAACAGAACACGCAACGACTAGCCGATTTAAGTAACGTCCCTAATTTGTTATTGTATTAGTAATATTTAACTTGTAAATATTAATATTACTATTGATTGTTATTAACTTTGTTGATACTTTTGCGTTTTTACATTGTTTGGTCCACCACAATTATTTGGTGAGCCTCGATTATTTTTTTTATAGACATTTACTATATATATCTACATAAGTTTTTGTTATTATTAATCGGCACGACACCATATTTTTGTTTTTGTCATTATGAACTCTCCGGGTAAACTTATTGATATTGATAGTTCTCCGACCAACCTTCTAAACTCTCCACAACTAGAGGATAATGTTTTAAACTCAATCAACGCTATCTCGGAACTAAGATTACCAACGTACGGTGTTAATAATCCCAGAATCTGGTTTGCACAGGTTGAGGCATTATTTTTGTCGAGAGGTATACGCTCGCAAGCGACAAAATATGCATACATTGTTGGAGCATTACCCATAGAAGTGGCAGCAGAAGTCGGAGACCTGATAGATAACGTACCAGAAACGGACCCATATGACAAAATAAAAGCCGCAGTAATCCACCGTACTTCGCAGTCTGATGAAAAACGCTTACAGCAACTACTCACCGCATGCGAGTTAGGGGACAAAAGACCTTCACAGTTGCTTAGACATATGAGACAACTAGCAGGTTCATGCAAGTTAGACGAAGCATTACTTAAGCAGATGTGGTCACAAAGGTTACCTTATAGCGTCAGACAAATTCTCAGCGTATCAGGAGCCTCTGTCAGTCTTGATGATTTAGCAGACATGGCCGATAAGATGATAGAAATATATCCCGATAGTCGGGGAATTAACGCAGTACAACCCGCCAGTAGAGACGCTATGAACCCTACTCTTGACATGCAGCAACAAATGGCACACTTAACACGTCAGCTAGCATCACTGCAGGCGACTATCTCCACCATCCGTTCTCGACGCCCCAGATCTAGGTCCAGAAGGAGATCATTATCCAGACATCGTCATAGGTCACCTAAGCGAGCAGCTGGAATGTGTTGGTATCATTCGAATTATGGCGAGAAAGCACGTCGTTGCACAAAACCGTGCAACTTCACGGCAAACAAGCCAGACCATCAGGGAAACGAAGTGGCCAGACAGTAATAGCGGCAGCTGTTACTGGCCAACATGTCAGCCGCCTTTTCCACATCAGGGATCGTATTTCTGGCTCAGATTTTTTAGTCGATACGGGAGCAGAAATCAGCATCATCCCACTTTATCTCTCACGCAGACAACATGCGATAAGCACTAAATTGTCCTTGGTAGCGGCTAACGAATCAGTTATCAAAACTTATGGAGAACAATCTCTTATATTAGATCTCGGACTCCGTAGACGATTCACATGGGTATTCATAGTTGCTGAAGTCAAACGACCCATTCTCGGAGCCGATTTTCTTAGTGCGTACAACCTTTTAGTTGATATGACTAACAAGAGATTAGTCGACATAAACACACGTTTACAGGTAAATTGTACACTCTCCAACGACAACGAGATCCATGGTGTTCGAATAATGAAACCTGTGAACAATATCTTCAACGACATTCTAACAGAATACCAATGCATTACGAAACCAGATTACCAAAAGGAAGGTAACCCACAGCTGGTACAACACCATATCACTACCACCGGACCACCTATTAGCGCCAGGGCGAGGAGATTACCACCAAGCAAGTTGCAAGTAGCGAAAAGAGAATTCGAACACATGATGCAACTTGGTATTATCAGACCATCTAACAGCCCCTGGGCCTCGCCGTTACACATGGTACCTAAGAAGGACCAAGATTGGCGTCCGTGTGGTGACTACCGACGATTAAACAACCAAACCATCCCGGATAGGTATCCTATTCCACATATACATGACTTCGCGTTAAATTTACATGGTAAATGCATCTTCTCGAAACTAGACCTCGTGCGTGCATACCATCAAATTCCAATGGCACCGGAAGACATTGAGAAAACAGCCATAATAACACCTTTTGGTTTGTTTGAGTTTCTAAGGATGCCATTCGGATTAAAAAACGCTGCGCAGACATTCCAACGCTTCATGGATAACGTAACAAGAGGCCTTGATTTCGTATTTGCCTACATCGACGATGTTCTCATTGCAAGCTCATCTTTAGAAGAGCATATCCAACATGTCCAGACCCTTTTTGACCGTTTTAAAAAACACGGCGTCGTCATCAATCCTTCGAAATGCATATTTGCAGTCCCAGCCTTAGAGTTTTTAGGACATTACATTGACTCTCAAGGCATCAAACCACTCCCAGAAAAGGTTGAAACTATTACCAATTATCCCGAACCAACCTCGGTGAAGTCATTACGACGTTTCCTCGGTATGTGTAATTTTTATCGCCGCTTCTTACCACATTGTGCTGAAGTATTACAGCCATTAACCGATCTGTTGAAAACCGACAAAAAAGGTACGAAGAAAGAGAAGAGTCAGACATTCAACCTATCTTTTGATGCCAAAACAGCGTTTGAAAAAGCAAAGTCGATGATAGCTAATGCCACCATGCTACAATATATAAATACTGACCCCACAACCCACTTAATTCTGTGTACGGATGCATCTCAAAAAGCCGTCGGGGCAGTATTACAACAACAGGTAAACAATATGACTACCCCCATAGCGTTTTTCTCCAAAAGATTGTCACCAGCCCAGGAACGCTATAGTACCTTTGGACGGGAGTTACTTGCTATCTACTTAGCCGTTAAACACTTTAACTTTTTACTACAAGGACGAACTTTTACCATCATGACCGATCACAAACCTTTATGTTACTCATTCCATACATCGTATGACCGACATTCACCTCGCGAAGCACGACAACTGGATTACATCTCCCAGTTTACGACAGATATCCAATTTGTCAAAGGACACACCAACGTCGTAGCTGACGCATTGTCACGTAAGGACGTAAATACCCTGTTACGTAAACAAGACATCGATCTAGAAACCATCGCAAAACTACAAGTAGACGATGCAGATTTGAAGGTCTGCCAGGAGAAGTCTAACTTGAACCTTAAACCAGTACCCATCCCTTTCTCAAATACATCTATCATTTGCGATGTTTCAACGGGTAACAATCGCCCTTTCGTACCTCTAGCATGTCGTCGACAGGTATTTCGTCAACTGCATGACCTTTCTCACCCAGGAATCAGAGCCACAATCAAATTGATTACTGAGCGTTTTGTGTGGCCAAAAATCAATTCAGATATAAAACGATGGACGCGAAGCTGCCTACAATGTCAACGTAGCAAGATTCAGAAGCACACGATCAGTCCAGTTGGCAAGTATCCCCTGCCGGAAAAACGTTTTCAGCATATCCACTTAGACATAGTTGGTCCATTGCCACCATCTAATTCATTCACTCATATTCTCACTGCGGTGGACAGGTTCACAAGATGGGCCATAGCATGCCCTATTGCTGATACTTCTGCAGAAACTGTAGCCAGCGTATTCCTTGACCGTTGGATAGCAAATTACGGAGTACCTTCTATCGTCACTACCGACCGTGGTCCCCAGTTTCAGTCTATCTTATTTCAGGAATTCACAAGACTTCTGGGCGTGAACCACATAAAAACAACAGCCTACCACCCAGCAGCTAACGGCTTGGTCGAAAGATTTCACCGCCAATTGAAAAGCTCGCTGATGGCACAAGATGATACGACTAAATGGAGTGACGCATTACCACTTGTACTCCTGGGTATCCGTTCAACTATAAAGGAAGATATAGGTTGTACAGCCGCTGAGCTAGTTTACGGTACAACCCTTACATTACCAGGTCAACTAGTGGACCCAAACACTTTAACACCAACGGACCCAAGTCGTTTTGCTAGCCAACTGCTGCAAACCATGCAACGAATCAAAGCCATATCGCCTCGTGAACATAACAATCGAATACAACTCAACAGAAATCTAGAAACATGCAAGTTTGTCTTTGTGCGAGTTGATGCTGTTAAAAAGCCATTGAAACAACCTTATGAAGGACCATATCAAGTAATTAAAAGAACGACCAAACACTTCATAATCAACAAGTGTGGAAAGAAAGAGACTATCGCTATCGATAGAATAAAGCCTGCTTTCTACGAAGCACAACTTGACAAAGAACATACTATTTCACTGAACCAACCCCGTCCAGCAACCACCACTACAGCAGACATGGAAGAAAAACTGAGTATCAAACCTACTTGTTTAACGCGCTCAGGCAGAGCTGTAAAAAAACCCAAACGGTATGTACATTTCGCCGTATAAAAAAAAATCTAAACAAACAATTACTGATGTACTATACGATTATACTCACCCGATTGTTCCCAACAAAACCCATGATTTTTTTTCTTTTTCTTTTTACAGTGTACATAATTAGCCATATTTTTTTCCCCACAATTATTCGTTTTGTTACCTTTTTTTATAAAAAAAATTTGTTACAATAATAAACGAGTAAACTCTATTTAATTATACATTTGTGGTACACACACACAAAAAAATAAACAGTTCATTTTTTTTTGGGTTCAGTAACAGTTCTGTACATTAGTATCATTGTTAGCAAACCAAGCTTTTAAATGACGGTATTCTCATTACTTTCGTTTGTCATGCTATGCCATATCACCACTATTTTCACACGATAACACACTGTATATTATTAACGTACATGTCATACACATCTCCACATTGTTTATTGGTTATTATTGCAAATATTATTTTTTTTTGTATAAAATTTTTATTATTGTTATTTTAACCAGTGTTACCTCCGGACACTCTGGGGGGAGCTATGTGGAGATATGACTGACAAGCTTATTTTGTAAATAGTTTTCAATGTTATTTCTATTTGTTTTGCCAATTTTTCACTGTATGTACATTTATCATTAAATGATTGTACGTGTTGTTTTAGTCAATGACCTTGAGGACTTTTTCCGTTGTAATTCGAACATAGCGTGACACACATTTTCGGTTGTTCACAGATACACTATTACGCACATACCCATTGTTCTATTGTCGCTCGTTACCAAGTCAATTGCGTTCTAAACTGGATATTATCCTCATTTCAGACTGCAGTGTCATTCCCATTATATCCTACGTCAAAGAAACTTATTGGCGTCATATTTACCTCTGTGGAATTATTACGCATTTATAATTGTGGATTTTTGAGACCAAAAACTCAACAGAACACGCAACGACTAGCCGATTTAAGTAACGTCCCTAATTTGTTATTGTATTAGTAATATTTAACTTGTAAATATTAATATTACTATTGATTGTTATTAACTTTGTTGATACTTTTGCGTTTTTACATTGTTTGGTCCACCACAGGAGTACACTCCCAACTCATGTCTATGATAATGGCTTGAACCTTAGTCAGTGTTGGGGTAAATTCGACATTGATGTTTTCAGTTTGCAGGAGATTTGCTCGACTGCTTATACTGATTATTTGCATGCATGATTGTGTCGCTAAACCATCAATTAAACTGACAATGTTTTGAGATATTTACTTAATGAGCAACTGATAGAGAAACATACTGTAATCATCTGTAGTGAATGAAGATAAAAGAAAAACAACACTAGTGATAATTGTAAGTCAATTTGCTGACCGATTTTGTTAATAGTTTCATTAATTTTATCAATCATATTACGTGATTGTCAAGTCATGTCAATGCTTTATGACGATATCCTGAAACTATTATGTTTAACTAGTTATAGTGTTGAGTGAGGATTAGTCAGTGGAAAAATAGGTATTGTTGCTTTAGGTGATTCGAAATTATCAGAAATTTATAACGTTAAAGAATCCGAGACGCCTAATTTAATTATAAATTTCAATTCAGAAATATTCGTTTAGTGTTAATTCTAGTAGGCTACAGAGTTTTGATTTTAAACGTTTGTTTAGCCAACAGCCACCTAGGGATTTAGTTATTTTACTAGTGCAGTTGATAGTACCTAAATTTTTAATCTTATTATCTAAACTATGTTCGCATTTTAGGCTGCTAATATGATGCACCAATCCATAAACCCAAATACGATTAGCAACAATGACTATGATGGGTTTATTGATAAATGTTAAAGGCGATTCAGATGATTTCTAAATTCAAAAGATATGAAGATATAGTAAAACGTATGTACGGGCCAGGTTAACATGCAGGTTGTTGACGTATATAAAAATTTGAAAATAATGAACATGACCAGAAAAATAATTTTAAAGTTAAGACTGCTTATGAAACTTCAGGCAGGAATATGGCGCGTTATAAACATTACATAAGAAGTTACTGCATTTAGCCTAGGGACACTTACAAATATGTGGCAAAAGCAACTGGAAAATATATACATGTTAAGTACAAAAAAAATCATCCGGTAAAATAGTTGAACTCGCCTTGATTATTTTTGAAAATTAGATTATTCAGTGGACGACATATATAACGCCATTCGTGAGTAGTAATGCTCCAAAAGCATCCAGAATAAAACATGCAGTATGGCAATCACTTCCAGGGTGCTTGATGCTGTTGAGGTATTTGGGACTCGCTCTGATCAGAACAAAGTATTTTTTGGAGAAGTGTCATCCTTGTTGTTTGGCAATGGAACTCGAGAATATGAAATTAGGCAGGCAGTGGTCGGAAGAAAAGATATTACAGGATAGTACATAGTTTAAAACAGGATGTGTTAAGCGAAGGAACACTAAGAATTACATCCAGATAACTATTCAATCCTTGATTGCATTGTTAGTCAATGTATATTTATGCTATTAACAGGTCATATTCGCTAGAGCTTGATGTTTAAACAAGTCTATGTCGCTGAAGCAGGTAAATGCTATTAAAGCTTGTTAACGAACCATCAAAGCTAATTAGTTGATATAGATGATCAACTTTTATTATCGATTGAGCTAGTAAGTTATGTGAACTTATAGATATAACATTACGATAATATATGTGACCATTAATCAAAGGACTATTAGAATACTGGGTTGACAAAAATAAAAAAACCGATTGAGAAGGTTAAGGTGGAAATAAGGATTAACAATAACAGGTTGCGTTTCTTTAGTTGGGCTCACCAATGTTTTTGGAATTATGGTCTACTATGATATTAGTACTGCTGTAATAATAGACCTAATCCTAAATTCGTAGAGAGAGCTTGTGGCGAACTGTCATCAAAATTGATCACCTCAAGTGGTGTTCGTCAGGGCTGTCCACTCTCCTCATTCTTGTTCAACTTTGTCATTGACGTACTTTTAGAGATAACACTCTCCTCATCTAAATATACAGGGTTTGAAATTCTACTATGGGATTCACTTGTTGACTTAGAATATGCTGATGACATAGTTTTATTTGGTGAAGACGCTGACAAAATGCAGAGTCTTCTGGCCACTCTAAGCAACAATGCAAGCATGTTCGGGATGCGATTCTCTCCCTCGAAATGCAAAATGTTGCTTCAGGATTGGGTTACATCGACACCCGAACTAGTGATAGGGAGTAAAGTAGTTGAGTGTGTCGACCGCTTCACTTATCTTGGGAGCCTCATCAGCCCATGTGGTTTAGTGTGTGACGAAATCTCAGCACGGATACAGAAGGCTCGACTAGCTTTTGCCAACTTGCGTCATTTATGGCGTAGGCGAGATATCCGTCTATCAACCAAAGGACGTGTTTACTGCGCAGCAGTTCGTTCCGTCCTACTTTATGGCAGTGAAACATGGCCGGTAAGAGTAGAGGATATCCGTAGGTTACTAGTATTTGATCATAGGTGTCTTCGAAACATTGCTCGTATATCATGGGACCATCGAGTAAGTAACACAGATGTTAGGAAACGGGTACTAGGTAAGAATGGCAAATCAATTGATGAAGTAGTGAAACTTCATCAGTTGAGATGGCTGGGACACGTGTTACGTATGCCCAACGACCGACTGCCTCGACGTGCTATGTTCAGTGGTATAAGAGTAGGTTGGAAGAAAGCTAGGGGCGGCCAAACCAAAACATGGCACAAGTCCATGAAGTCACTGACAAGTAAACTGAGTCATGTTGGTAGGTGTAGACTACCTGGTTGGGGACCGCGAGATGACAGCAACCGATGGTTAGAGATCCTGAATGACATGGCTCAAAATTGTCTGCAATGGCGCAGGTGCATCCACTCTCTGTGTTCTCCCAAATTCTAATCTTCTGAATTCTTCATGTCCCTTTTTTCCTCTTTCCAAATTTCTTTCACTGGATTATACTCTCTAAATAACATCTCCAAACCCTAATCTTCCCGATTACTGCTTATACTCTTATTACCTCTACCACTACGGGATTTGAATCGACAAGTGCATCTCTGTGCTAATGTGGTGTGGCAACTCGAACTGATGTACGTACGTACGAAGTTCTACGTTGTTACTGACTGACTGACTGAAATTCGTAGATTTGTCATGATATAACTGCCTAACCTATAAGATCTTACGTGGAAGTCACACCATCGACTACACCAACTCACTGTATCGCGTCAATTACCAATACATGATGTAGAACAAGGTTAGGCTAGAGAAAGAACAATATATTTAATATGAATAGAAGATATAAGATAACATTCAGCAGAGACCACGCCTGCATGGCCGAGCCATGCCACTCGATCAACCCCAGTCAATTCAATTCATTCTCCGCGCCTTCTCCATTGTTAGGTATTTCCCCAAGTTAAATATTGAATATCTATTTTCTGAGTAGTCTCGTGTTCACAGCTTTGTGGATTGTGTGGCTATTGTCCAATGCCTCTACAGACTAACCCATTGACATATCAAGGTGCCATAGATGCTTTGAAGACTGTACAACACAGAGGACGTTGTTACAGAAATATATTAGTTAAAGTAGATACAAGCGAAAGTAAGACCACTACCGTATTGGCCAGTTCGTGGCACACTATTAACTGATGCGCGTTGGTTGTCCCTGACCTTGATGAGGATCGATGATTTGCTCGATATACAATGACACAACTGCCGGATGATTCGACTAGGGCTTAGTGACATTTGATTGGCCCTACACCCATTTTAATTGGTATTCAACTGTCCACATGTACAGATGCATGTATATACCACGTGAATGTATGTCTTGGCTTCATGAAATTGTAAGTACGATGGGCCATCAAACGGTCAAATCACACCAAGTTTATGCATTTTCGGGCAGGCCTCAAAATTATCGCAATCGGTAAATCGTCGCGATAACACCATATTATTGGTGATTCATCCAATATCATTACGATGGCATCACTTTTGCTACTAGAGGGATGGACGTTATCAGACATAGTGTGGTTGAACTCAAGTCAAACGTAAAACCATCTTGATTTTACCGCTACTGAAAAACTCTACGAATTATCGAGGTGATGCATCAATCGTTTTATGACGGTTTGACCTTCAAGTACTCAGTACCTCCATCAATGGGCGGTACTATTATATTGTTGCCCTAATCTTATGTCTAAATCGGCACTTCCTAAGCGTCCAACGTCCTGCCGTCTAAATAAACTTATTAACTCCGTAACTATACACATGTAGATGGGATCATAATGGATAAAAAATGTTTTTGGTGTGCATTTAAGCGAAGAAGAGCTCCGAAACATTCCTCATTTAAAGACTGAACTACTAACGCATATGGCTCTCAGAACAGTTCTAACTTCATGTCTTTTCGGAGCCATCGTATGTGCCCCGATGATTACCTTGCTGTCAGGTTTGTTTCTGCTAGTTTAGTATTCATTTTCAGTTTTAGAACCTAAAACTTTAAGGTGTTTAACCAGAAGATCATTCAAATTCGCTACTTATGGATTCTTACCCGGAATCACCATAGCCCCAATACTGATGTATGCTCGGATGAAAGATCAACCGGACGAAGCATTTTACGACAGGTGCTATCGGCTACGGAGCAACAAAAGCCAGGTACAATTAGAATGCTAATGAAGATCATGTTCTTCGAATAGCTAACTTTATTCGTCTAAATTCGACTATCGAGTAGCCATTCATTTCTATAAGGGTTCATGATCATGCCAATTCAGTAACTTTTGGTCGGTCAATCCAGCCAAACTTACCCAATATCCCTATTTTGGGGAAGTCACAATAGAAAACTGGGGAAATGACACAAAAACTTCAAATTTTCCCAACGTCTGGGGAAAACCCTCAAATTTACCCAAAGTTTCCCTTAAATCGGGAAATTGGGTATCCCAACATACTTAAATTAGTATACCAAATTCTTTTCAAGCAGTGCATTACATATTAGAATGACGATAAGGATACATATTTCGGGTCATAAAGCCCTTACTTACTTAAGACTCATCTTAAACATGCTACCAGTTAAGAAACTTGCCTACTTCAAGATTGAATTAGGGATTTCCGCAAATACGGTAAACAACTAGTCTGTTCCATTAGCAATTTACAAAATTTTTGAAAACCACTCGTGAAGTTGTGAAAATATAGGATGTACAAACAAGTATGTAAATGAAGCGTTCACCAGCTGAGTATTTTCCACTAGTATTTATAGGAAATAAATCCAAATGAGTTTTTTTATAACAATGAAAGATAAATAAAGATCACTAACATATTTTGTCCCGAAGTTTATACACGACTTCTCAATAAGGTGGGATCGATCCAAACAAAAGAAATTCGATATCTAAAGTCGTACTTACAACTGTAGTGGTGGCTGTAAAGTGTTTCTCACGAATAACTAGTGTCTCATTACAACAAATGTAAGGGTTCAATTGATGACATACTCCACCCCTTCGGAATTCCAACACTGGTTGTGAGATTCGGAGAACAAGACTTATTATTACGCTAGCAAGCACATAGTGGTTATTTTAAACCTCTAGCTTTCCAGTCGCGCTCCCAGACCAATAAAGCTGGAAACTTATTACTTCCCTCCCAGGTTTCCAGAATCAAAGCATGCTAACACAGTCAACACTAGAAAACCATATTTGGGAGTTAGATTTTTTCGTAAATGCAGTTGTCAGACATCTAATGGATAGTAGATACAATGCCAATCAGTGAATACCTTTAAAGCATTCAGAATAACTGACGAATATCGGACATCGACTTTATCTCATTTCGCTTAGACTGGTCGAATGCTTCCAACCTGACCTATTTGTACAGAAAAAAAGGGTGACAAATCTATGTTATAAGAGATATAGTTGTAGCTTAATACTTTTATCTCCTTTGTAGGCCTACTTATGTTCACGTACTGATTCGACTTCGCGTCTCGCGATGTAATCACTTGCGGTGGCCATTATCATAATGTGGTCGCGTACTCTAATAATGACTAGTAACTATCCCCTACTTTTCAAGACTAGTGTTTTTGTTTCATTTCAAAATATAAAAGAAGCATATCATTTTCAAACATCTAGTGCTATATTTTGGGGAAACTCTGGAAGAGGTGAAAACATTCACGTATCCGAGCAGCATCATAGATGAAGTTGGAGGATCTGATACCGACGTAGAGGCGAGATTCGGCAAATCAAGGACAGCATTCCTACAGTTGAAGAACATATGGGACTCGAAACAACTGTCAACCAATATCAAAGTCAGAATCTTCAGTACGAGCGTCGACAGTTCCACTGTACAGGGCTGAAACCTGAAGAACTAGCGCAACCATCATCAAAAAGGTACAAGTATTTATAAACAGTTGTCTACGCAAGTTACTCAATATCAGTTAGTCAGTCAGCTACAACGTAGGACCAAGCACATATGTGCATCGGTCCAGGTTGCCATACCGCGTCAGCACAACAAGATGAACACCGGATTCATAGCAGTGGTTAGGTCAAAGGTAGTAATATGTAAGAGGGAGATTGCATATAGAGATACAGTACAAGAAGAAAGAATTGGTTCGTAGAAAGAAAGATATGAAGCGATTTTAATCTCTTAGTTTAAGGGAAGACAGGGAGTGTATAAACCGACGCCATTGTTATCGATTCTGAGCCATGTCACCAAGAGTCCCCAACCATTGGTTACGATAATCACGCGGACCCCAACCAAGTAGTCTGCATCTACCAACATGGCTCAGACTAGAAGTTAGTGACTTCAAGCACTGATGCCACGTTTTGGTTTGGCCGCCCCTTATTCTCCTCCAACCATCTCTAACACCCGTTAGCATTGCACGTCGAGGTAATCGGTGTTCAGGCATACGTAACACGTGGCTCAACCATCTCAGTCGATTAAGATTCATAACCTCATCAACTGATTTACCATCATTCCCTAATACCCTGCGTCTAACCTCACTATTACTTACCCGGTGATCCCAGCAGACGCCAGCAATATTTCTAAGGCATCTGTGGTCAAATACTTGTAGCTTACGAGTGTCTTCTACTCCTAATGGCCACCAATATCAAAGTCAGAATCTTCAGTACGAGCGTCGACAGTTCCACTGTACAGGGCTGAAACCTGAAGAACTAGCGCAACCATCATCAAAAAGGTACAAGTATTTATAAACAGTTGTCTACGCAAGTTACTCAATATCAGTTAGTCAGTCAGCTACAACGTAGGACCAAGCACATATGTGCATCGGTCCAGGTTGCCATACCGCGTCAGCACAACAAGATGAACACCGGATTCATAGCAGTGGTTAGGTCAAAGGTAGTAATATGTAAGAGGGAGATTGCATATAGAGATACAGTACAAGAAGAAAGAATTGGTTCGTAGAAAGAAAGATATGAAGCGATTTTAATCTCTTAGTTTAAGGGAAGACAGGGAGTGTATAAACCGACGCCATTGTTATCGATTCTGCGCCATGTCACCAAGAGTCCCCAACCATTGGTTACGATAATCACGCGGACCCCAACCAAGTAGTCTGCATCTACCAACATGGCTCAGACTAGAAGTTAGTGACTTCAAGCACTGATGCCACGTTTTGGTTTGGCCGCCCCTTATTCTCCTCCAACCATCTCTAACACCCGTTAGCATTGCACGTCGAGGTAATCGGTGTTCAGGCATACGTAACACGTGGCTCAACCATCTCAGTCGATTAAGATTCATAACCTCATCAACTGATTTACCATCATTCCCTAATACCCTGCGTCTAACCTCACTATTACTTACCCGGTGATCCCAGCAGACGCCAGCAATATTTCTAAGGCATCTGTGGTCAAATACTTGTAGCTTACGAGTGTCTTCTACTCCTAATGGCCATGTTTCGCTGCCGTAAATTAAAACAGAACGGACTGCCGCGCAGTATACTCGATAGACGGATATCTCGCCTTCGCCATAGGTGACGCAAGTTGGCAAAAGCCAAACGAGCTTTCCGAATCCGTGCTGAGATTTAGTCCGATACCAACCCATTAGGGCTGATCAGACTTCCAAGATAAGTGAAGTTGTCGACGCGTTCGACTACTTCACTCCCTATCCTTAGTTCAGGTGTTGACGCAGACCAGTCCTGCAGCAACAACTTGCATTTAGAGGGAGAGAAGCGCATTCCAAACATCCTGGCATTGTTGCTCAGTGCTACCAGAAGACTCTGCATTTTGTCAGCGTCTTCACCAAACAGGACTATGTCATCTGCGTATTCTAAGTCGATAAGTGGACCTCCTGGTAGGAGATCAATACCCGAGAACTCAGTCGACGAGAAAGTTATTTCCATCAGTAGATCTATGATGAAGTTAAACAAAAATGGGGAAAGTAGACAACCTTGACGGACACCACTTGAGGTTGCAAAAGTAGATGACAGTTCGCCATAAGCTCTGACTCGACTAGTAGTGTTTGAGTAAAGAGCCTTCACAAGGTTTATGTACTTCTGTGGTACGCCTTTCGATGACAGACACTGCCACAGAATCTCGCGGTCTACAGAGTCAAATACTGCTTCCAAGTCAAGAAAGACCACCATCGTCGGACGCCGATAGGTATGCCTATGTTCTAGAACCTGACGAATGGTGAATATGTGGTCGATGCAACCATGACCAGGTCTAAAGCCAGCTTGATTGTCTCGTGTTTGCAGTTCACGAGTCCTAGTTAGGCGTCTGATAATTATCGAGGCCAGTATTTTAGATACTATGTTTGTTAAACTAATCCCTCTGTGGTTGTCACAGGATGATTTTGACCCTTTCTTATAGAATGGGACGATAAGTGATTGTGACCAGTCAGATGGAATAACGTCTAACTCCCAGATCTTAGCCAAAATATTAGTCAACCTAATCGCTAAAATTGGATCACCATCCTTAAAGACCTCTGGAGCCAATCAATCTGGACCAGCTGCCCTTCCTCGTTTCAGATTAACTATAGTCTTTTGAACTTCAGCAAGAGTTGGGGGACCTACTTCAATGTTCAATCCACACTGTCTGGGAATGGAGGATAGTTGTAGAGTGGCTGAAGGCCAGCTGAACTGTCCTCTGAAATGTTCCGCCCATCGTTCTAAACGTCTGGACTGGGAGAAGATGAGTGTATCGTCTTTTTCCGATATAATCTCACTTACACTTGACTTATTAATTCCAGTTTCTTTTATTAGTCTGTAAAGCTGTCTTGTGTTCCCTATAGTCGCCGCCTTTTCCATCTCTTTTGCTTTCGTTGCCCACCACTGCTCACGATCGTTCCTTAGACTTTTTCTTAACCTAGATCTGATTTGTTGTCGTCCTTCATCATGTTCGGAACCTGATGGGACGATTTTGCGAGAATCCATCAGTGTGATAGACTTTGAAGAAATCCACTGGTTCTTTGAAACTCTGTGGTTTAAGTCGCTAATAGATGTCACTGCTGCTTCCACAGCTGCTTGTATTTCATTCCAAGCAACATCTGGGTCAACCTCGTCTTCACAACTACCTAATCGTGACCTCAGTTGTTCCTGGAACCTACTTTTGGTTTCCTCGCTTCTCAGTTCGGTTCTAATGGGTCTTTTTACTGTGGCTTTTTTGCGTCCAGTGAGGCGCAAGCAGATGCGTGCCCGTATTAGGGCGTGGTCGGAGTCCAAGCAAGTACTCCAGAATGAGCGACAATCTTCCACCGACCCTCTCCAACGATGACTGATGGCAATATGGTCTATTTGAGTTCATCGTTGATTTGGTGTAGGGGGTCGCCATGTTAGACGATGTCTCTCATGCTTGAAATTTGTGTTTGCTAAAAATAAGCGATTGTCTGAGCACAGTTGCAGCAGACGGTCACCATTATCTGTTCGCTGTGTCGGAATGCTAAAATATCCACCTAAATGCCTTTCTGTTTGGTTTAAACTACCTATCTGAGCATTAAAGTCACCCCCTACGAGCACTATGTCTGAGCCTTTAGCTTTCTGAAGAAGTTCGGACAGCTTTCTGTAAAATTCACCTTTCACATCATCTGAGATGCAGTCAGTGGGAGCGTAGGCAGAAACGACAAAAAGGCAACGACGTGTGTCCATATCCCTACGAGTTTTTAGGGAGCCGTTTAGCCGAACAGCACATAGACGACTGTTGACGGGGATCCACTCTAGCAGCGCTTGTTCCGCCCTCATGCTTAGTGTTATGCCTACACCCGCCAGTCCACGAGAACTGGCCATCGGGTCACCAGATACACGTAGGGTGTATCTCGTTGGCTCTCCGTTTTGCCGAGGTGAGGTCAAGTGAATGACCACACTGGAATCCTGTATGTGTGTTTCGGAGACACAGCATACATCAATGGAAAGAAACTCTAGGGTTTTAGCCAAGGAAGCCTGCTGACCGATTTGACATAGAGTGCGTACGTTGAAAGCTCCAATGTGTAGTTTGGAGCGAGGTTTCAGTAGACCTGGGACAGAGTTTTGAGCATTAGAATCGTTGGCTATGGTGACACTTGAGGAGGAAGTTTAGGGTTGAAAGTCGATGTAGGAGGAATAATAGGAAGTGAAGACGGAGGCTGATTATGAATACAGTGGTCTTGGGTGCTGTTAGAGGTATGAGGGCGGTTATCACTTCCCGGCTGCCCACACCGTGGAAGGGTTCTTCTGGAGGTACCTGAGAAGGAAATTGGATTAGAGGTGGTCTTAGTGACCTGGGAGCGTGACCGCAGTGCCCAATGGACAACTGCTTGAGGTCGGTCACACACGACCTTTTTATGGGTAATTTTTGTGTTAGCTCCGTTCTTCAAAGGGCCTTACCGCCGGAGACGGAAATCCGTGAGGTAAGGTGAGGTGTGCATTTTTAGGGTCGACCTTTTCTAACCCCACCCCTCCTTGTGGGAAGGCAGCATCGCTGTCATGCTGGTTATCTGAAGGAAACACCTTACTGCTGTCACACCTCTGTACAGTCAGCAGTACGACTTCGCCTTCGGACCTTGGGTTTGTTGCTTTTAGTCTTACCGCTCTTCAACCGACCTGTCTGACATGGAAGGACCTTGAGGAACGGTTGTTCCAGCCAGTATAGCTCGGTTGCTTCATCACGATATGCAAGCCCGACCACCACGTCAAGGTAGCAACAACGGTCGGGAGTTACTCAATATGTGTTGACCGGATACTATCAGTAACAGCCTACTATGAGAGAGAACAAACCAGCTTCCAGTTGAGGGAGAATTTAGGGAAAGACGCTGGAAGTGGATAGGACACATATTAAACTGCATCATGAAGCAAGCACTAATTTGAACTCCTGAAGGGAAACGGAAAAGAGGGAGGCCAAAGAACATACTGCGCCGAGACATGAATAAGGATGAATAGCAACCGGAAAAGATTGTCCAGGACACAGTTGAGTGGAGAATGCTAGTAAGCGGTGTAACAGGCGTAAGTAAACGCCATATTTGTCCTTTTTCTCTGATCCTAATTCAGTCCCATTCCGAACACCCATCTCAACTTCGCCTATCAAAGTATATCAGAATTTTTTTTATCACATGGCTCGGTGTTTCCTTAGGCTGTTTGGAGTTCATGAGTAGCCTCAACATAGAATGGATTAGTTCCATTCTACAAATCTCGTTCTTTATTTGTTCAGATTTATAGAGTGGACAAACTTTATAAGGAAAATACTTGCTAAAATAGGACAAAGTCTCTACAGTTTAGAGATATGATTCCTAACTCGTTAATTGCACAGCAAATTGTTTATAGGTAAAATGCCATTCTAATTAACACTTCGAGTGAATGTTTTTTGTTGGATTATCAGTGAGTAGGACTTAAATAACATTCGAAATTGAATTTTTGGTTCTACCAGGAAAGAACTGACTGTGTTTCTTGTATCCCTCACTTCAAGAACAGGGGTTGTCTTATGACATATTTTCTGGGCATCCATATGAATAATAATATATATAGTTTTGTGATGTCCCAATTCGTAGAAAATTGCATTAATGACGTTCCGTGACCTTATGTAAGTCACTTCTTCAGGACAAATAATATGCGAAATGTCATTAATACAATTCCCTACTAACTGGGATATCACAAAAATATACTTATTTCTAACTTTCAACCCAATGCTCAATTTATTTGGAACTATCAAGTCCAATCTTGACACTGATACCTACAAATCCATATAATTACTTAGCGGTTCGTGTAATTTCTTTGGTTTTATTATTTTTTTCAATGAAGCTTCGTGTAGATCGTTTCAGTTATATCGGTTTGGGATGCGGCAGGATAGCAGGTTTCGCCAACGCAGCTGGACCAATACAAACAGCAATAATATGAATGATGATTGGGACTGTAGCAGCTGTTTGCTGTAATAAAATTGAGAAGAGCATTTCTACACAGAAATAGATATTAGATTTCCTGCTCAACCTCTGTTCATTTATTTCCGTAATAAATATCTTTCCCAGTAATTAACTAGTTTGTGGTAGGAGAATGTTTTTACTATTTGTTATTTAGCTATGGAAAAGTCCTAAATATTTTACCTTCTTTAGTGAAGTGTATGTTACATAACTATTTTGACAATCTAGTACTGCATCATTTATTAGTGTCGATAGTTGAACAGTTTGTAGATCTAAATGACTTTAACTGTGGTATTAAGGATGATAGTTCTCACCTTTCTTCGTATACTGAGGCCTGTACCATCTTAGTCTGTGCCACTTTTCGGGCCGTTAATGTGAGTATAATTATACCCATAATGTTCATAATCCGGTATCACGATTATGAATTTGTCCCGGATAATTGATATGAATACGATTCACCCTTCAATACAATTACTTTCCAATCCTTTGTATTTCAGACACTTTCGAGTCAGGCTGTGTAAAATCAGGAATTGGTTATGAATGTTTAGGGTATACTGCACTTCAAACGCCAAAGATTGATAGGGTAAACAGACCCACATAGCCTACCATTAGAAGCATGAAGTATGTATATTTCGGAGTCCATAAATCTTTTGTTATATACTACAAGCATGCAAATTAGTTTCACCGAAAGGTATATGATTCATTTGACAAAATATAAGCACCAAACGAACAATTCACGTCTAATGTGACATTAGTTTTAGATATGGCCAACCAGCATTGGAGCTCTTGTTATTTTTATAAAGCAATTACTTTACTACTAATTGGTGTACATCGTTCCTTAATCTAAGAAACTCAATTTCGACCTCATCTGAACTATAATACAGTTCAAAAAACCATCTTGCTCACCACAAAGACCATTCCATCAATTTTGTAATCCTTAAACCACCCAGCGGCAGATTTTCGCAAATGAACTTGATTGAATATATTATCAGAGTTGTGGCTTGAAAATTGTATTTCCATATTACCAAGTTGACTTATACTAAATACTCTCGTGAAACTACTTCTCATAATTTAACAATAATCCACTTCCATACCTTGATGTTCTAAGCAAGATTATGATCGTCTGAGCAGAAGTAAAATCAAACATTTCCGTATCAGTAAGTCAACAGCCATACTCATAAAATAAGAATTTATATTATAAATGGCATATTATGTTCGATCTGTTCACCAATTGGCAGATAGCAATAAATATTCAAAATTATCTGTTAAGCATTTACCAAAAGTTGATCATAAAAGGAAAATAAAGCAAAGTGGGTCCCATTAAAAAATAACTGTAAAGTGGAAAATAATTGAGAAAATATTTTCATATTCGCCTTCACTTCCATTTGTACTAAAAGGAAAATTGTTTCCAAAAATCAATTTTTACAAGAGAGATGCATCTTATCAAAAAGAATACGATTTCTATAAGAAAAGTCAAAAGAAATATTTCAACTTCGTTGGAAAGACTTTGATGTTCCAAATGTCCATGATTCAATACTTGGCAAGCCGTTAGGGTGCGTGAAGTTATCTGTACGTAAGACTGAGTCTTTAGGTGATAGTTTTGTTTGTGGGCAGTTGTTAATACTTGCAGACTGTAAAATTAATGGGGAGTTTTCAGTCGGTAGATTCGAAGAGTGTATAGTCTGTAAGAAGTCGTTATTACTATCACAAGAAAATAAAGTGATCTGTTCAAGTTCGTCAAGTGAAGTTCCTGACTTGCATGTTTCAATATCATTAAAACTGAGTGCTGTATCGACATTTTCGTCTTCATACTTTGACTTGAGGTTCTCCACGAATAGGGTTGTATTTATATGACGACTGGATAACACACCGAGAAATTTCTCATCAATACCATACAAATCAGTAGTAGCAGACTTCTTTTCATCACTAATATCTTGTTTAGAATTTAACACCTGACTGTCCTTTATAACATATTTTGTACTTAGTCTTTCTCTTGGATAACTTATATTATGGTTACAGGTGCTCTGCAAGTTGTTATATTGAGATTCAATATTTCCTAGTTTGATTTCCGACAAAGGATTAGAATTTACTTTATCATGATTAAATCCAATTTTAGAGGAAGTCAGAGGTAAGTATGATGTAGTGCTGTCAGTTGTTTGTGTAATGAATGGCTGAAAACTTAAATTATTCATATTAGTATCCAGCAGCATGCCATTTAACATTGAGGAATTTGTTTTAATTGGGACTACTGTAGACTGCCTAATAAAAGTCGCTTTGGGAGGTTCACACAGGAAAGTACGATATATCATTGGTTGTTCATTTACAAGTTGTTGAACAGTTGGTGACTGTATATTGAAAATTCGAATTTCCTTGATTCGATTTCCCTGGTTTAGTGACGATGGTGATATCAGGGATTCAGTTATTCCGTCAGTAGTTTGACATGGTATAATTTTATGCAATCGATAAGTTACATGTTCGATGTCCCCACTGTCAGTAACTAATAATGTCATTGTTTCGTCGACTTCTTTATTTTCCTTAGAAATATAGTTGTCATTTATGGCAGGTGATATGAACACTCTTTTGTCATATGGATTGTTCACACGTGTTGCATGGGAATAATTATAATCTACTTTTACTGGTTGGTATAATTCCATGTTCAATTTATTGTTTACCTGTGGATTTGGTTGTAAGTAATTTCTGCAGCAATTGATAGAGTTAACAACAGATGTTCGGTTTTGTTCAATTATCATTGGCGTTTGGTTTTGAGCATGACTTTTATCAGAATTTTGATTGTTCAAGAGAGTGGAAAAATTTTGATCAACGGGAAATGCATTATTCTCATGGTTCATTTTACAATTATTGTTGTTATTAGGCGTAATCGATTTCGATGTAATTTGTACGACGATTTCTGACTTGGGAATACATTCATCAGCTTCAATTTTGTTGTCATCGCTATTTACATTACGTGCACGTTTTTTAGGTTTATACTTATAGTGAGGAAATTCTATGGCATGTAACTGTTGCAAGCGAAAAGCTTCATCTATGTATTTACCACGCATTTTCAAATCTAGTTTTCTCCATAGTTGTCCCACTCGTTGACTTATGTGTACATTAGCTGCATCGGGGAACCAGTGCAGTATGATTCTTCGAAGGTATTGGGCGAAAATCTGTAGTGATTCATGATAAAGGAAAATATTCGTAAAAATTCGCGAGTGAAATTTCGAAAAGATATAAATAATGAGATACACCAGTAACTGTTACTGATGTTTAAACGATCTACAATAAGTTCACTTTCACATCGTTTATTCAACTAATAATTTGAAACTGACGCTAATAAGAAAATGGCTGAACGTAGTTCTCTCATAACCTAAACAAGCTTATAATCTTAGTTGTGCAGATTCATCTAACTCTATCCACTTACAACTTGATATGCACCATCGTTCGAGTCAAGATGAAAAAACCAGTAGTTAGAATTTGAATGGTCGATAAAACACACTTCTGGTTGAACTCCATATGATATATATCAATTATTGAAGAACTGAAATATCAATCCTAATAAAAGACCACAAGTTAGTAGATTTGCCCTTTTACATTTTCATACAACTTGGATCAACTCGTATCCACCATTTCTTCTCAACACTAAATGTTCTAAACCTAGTCTAATTTTCACTTCATTAGTGAGCTTGTTGTGGTGTATTTCTTAAACATTTAGGGATCTGAAACGATAATGTAAGGATGTAAATTTAATATTGCTTAGTTCTTTGATTTTCATTTACATGAAATAGGGTTTAGTGACATTAAACAATGAAGTACTGTGAGACAGTGCTTTTCTATGTTGGCTTGTTCTTCTATCCGTAAACTACCTGTGGCCGGTTAACAATAATGACAATTAGCAATATTTATCTGATCAAATAAGGAACAAAAGTGGTCCATCCTAGTTCCAAAGAGGTTCACAATGATAGCTAGTCGTTGTTTCCGAAAGCTGATCAAAGAACCAAATATTTTAATTCAGAAAAACATGGCTACTTGTATCATTGCAGTCCTAAACACCAATGGGAAGATTCAAACAATCAATACAAAAAGGAATTAAACTTCATACCACTGCACAAGCTAGGACGAAATGCGTATCCTGGATTCCACTACTAGCAACTGTTTATCTCTGCTTATAACGCTTGTGACTGGAAGTAATCAGAATAGGATGCACATGTGCATGTACTCACTGCCTTACATGCTGTTAGTTTTGTTATCGTGCTGCTGTGGAATGTGACGATTTGTGATTGGATGACCTGAATGCTGTCATGAAACACTAAAACAGAAAGTCTGTCTACGGTAACCATGACAATGCGTCAGCCTAAAATTACTTGCCCTCAAATGTCCTGGTACGGCCGAAAGTAGGGAGAGTTCACTCTCCCTCTCGAAATGCTCTCACATGGCCACGCGTATATAGCCTCTGTTAGGGAAGTCCTACGCACTGCCTTCTCTTGGCGGGAGTGTTGTTTACGAAATTGAGAAGACGAAAAGCGAAAGTCCGGAGCTTTAACCGAGTTGGTGGACATGGAGAGTCCACCTGGGGGAGTTGGAAAACCCTAGTGTACATGGGCTCCAGTATCCTGAAGGAACAAATGGCATATGAACCAATTATTGGTCACCGGCCATTGTTGGACCGCATCTCCTTACGTTGCTCCACTGCTTTGTGGATCAGACCTTCAGGTCGAAGGCTCCGATGTGACCTCCTAAGAAAACCACTTGCTTCGGTTTGGGCACCCGGGCAGTATTACAGCCCTCACACATATCAAATGAGATCTGTGTGGCGTATATGTACTTGTTGCCTCCTTGTACCAATATATATATGTGTTAAAATAAAACAAAAATTTCAATAAAATAATTATGACTAACAGTCACATCATGAAAGAAGAGTGAAGTCAAAACATCCATGTAAAGTTTAAGCGATTTATTCGATAAATGATTATTCGTCTGAAA